ATATTTGAATAAAATATTTTTGCTTACCAAAAATATTTTATAATATCAAAATAAAATATTTGATAAATTTTTGGCACACCTTTTGTAACTGACTCAATAAAATTATTTTGAACAGTTAAAAAGATTTTTCAACAGACTCCAAAAATAAATATAATTTTTATTTTAACTCTCATAAAAATAATTTTGGAGAGAAGATATTTTTGTCATCCTTACAATTATTCCTACGACTCAAATAAATAAAAAGTCTTCGGAAATCTTCTACTCCTCCGAGTCCTCTATTAGGCACTCCGAACGCGTCTCGGATTCCTAATAAAATCATGTGCACCTTCTTGAATACTTCAAGGAATGGCACTTCAAGTCTTCGTGTTTGTCGATGTAGCTCTATGATCTTGACTTGAATAAATTGTGTTTGTCAATTATCAAAACCTGTGAGTCAACACTTAACAACATAGAAAGGGTTGAACTCATGCATTCCAATAATTTCCCCCTTTTTGAGAATGACAAACACATGGAGGATATGCTACCAACAAATAACAAATTAAAGCATATACTCCTATACTCTTCCCCCTTTTGGCATTATCAAAAAATAATGAAACAAAAGAACTCATGCATTTCGAGGAGAGAAAAAATTCTAAACAATTAAAAAAAATCACATTCCCCCTAAAATCATGCATTTCTAGGAAATAAATTACTTCCCCCTTAAAGTATGCTATCTTTCCCAAAAAAATAAAGCATACAAAAAGATTAACACATATAGCAATAAATTCCCCCTTACTATATGCAAAACATCCTATGTAAATTCCCCAAATAAATTCATATAAATTCATTAAAAAAATATATAATGACTCCCCTTTGATGCAATCTCTTTGGCTAATTGCTTGGAGCATCCACTACAAATTTGTAGTCTTCAAGCACGCCTTTCAAGTGCGTCACGTACCCTACCACCCATCGTGTTCTTCAAGAGCGATGAGGCAATCGTCTTTGGAAGGTTCATCATACTTCCATGAAAAATAAGTAAATTCATCTTGTTTGCTCATTTTCTTAAGCTTCGGGCATTCAAATTTTCAATGGCCAAGCTTTCCGCACTTATGACACCTTGGGGTGTTTTTCTTCTTGCTCTTGTTTAGCTCATGTTTCAAAAACTCGTTAAAACATTCAACCAAAATATCACAAGAAGTGCTAGAATCACTATCACTATCTGAATCCGAATCATCAATCTCTACTTTTTGAGAAGAAGATGCTTTAAAAGCAATTCCCGTTCTCTTCTTAACGTCAAGGGTATGAGAGAGATGATTTGTTTCGTAAGTGATAAGGTTACCTCGAAGACCATCGTAGGTGATGACGTTGTAATCACGGCCTTCATATATGGAGTTTACCTTTGACTCCCATTCCTTGGTAAGACTTCGTAGGATTTTTCTCACTAACTCCTTGTCGGTGAGCGAGAAAGGTTCGTATAGTTCCAGCAACTGCTACAAACTTTTAGAAGGTTTGTACAGGAGGTGTTCAAGCAAGAGAAAGTATCGTTTATTGAGTATAAGTACCCAATCATTTAGTTAAAAACTAAGTGCTTGAACTCCGCATGGAAGCATACACTAGTACTCGAACAAGGTGTAAAGGTTGGCGGTTTGGCAACGAGATATTTTTTTACAATCGTTGGCGTTGACAGCACAATACAAAAAGATAATGGCGGTGGCATTCAATTGAGCCTTTTTAAAATCGGCTTCATCATATTCATCCTCGTCCTTCGGGATGAGTGTATCGCCTATCTTCTTCATCGGCAAGCTATCTCCATTTTTGATAGCAAGCCAAATCTTGAAGTCATTAGATTGAACAAAAATTCTCATCCTCTCCTTCCAATAGGAGTAATTTGTTCCATCAAAAAATGGCGGCCTTACGGTGGATTGCCCTTCTCCTATCCCTGCGTTCAACATTCTCAAAAAAATTTGATCGTTTTCTCAAACGTCACAAAGAGCATTAGAGATACCCGCTCCGATACCAATTGTTAGACAAGGCGTGCAACTCTAGAGGGGGGGGTGGTGGTCCCAAAGTGGTGAAATACAAAGTCTAGAGGGGGGGGTGAATAGACTTTGTTACAAATTTAAAACTTTTTCGTTTCTTTTGAAAACATGAAAATGAGTGTTAATCTAGAGTTCTTGTGAACTTTAGATTGTGTGCGGAATTTGGTGGGTAGTATGAGCAGTAATCAATATGGATGGGTTAGTTTTCACAGTTAATATAATTGCAAGTATAAGTAAAGATAAAAGAGAGAGACACGCAAACTTTAACTAGGTTCGAAGGTGGGGTAATCCTTCTACGTCCTCAAAATCCACTATGTAGTTGGTTGTTGAATAATGAACCAACAATTACACTTGTGTGAATTTCTGCACGGTATATCTTCGCAAGGCCAATGTTGCTACTGCACTCGTGCTGATTTTGTTGTTCCTTCGAAGGTCACGCTTCTTCAACAACTGCAAGATCCGAACAATAGGACTTGCAAGATCAACTTGTAAGAAAGTTGATCTACTCCCTTTTAATCAAGAAGTTTGATCAAAAGTAATATCCTTCAACGTGGTGTGGTACTTGAGGCAAGGAAACCTTCAAGTGTTTACACTATAGCTCTTTGGAAGGAGGAGAAGTTTGCTTCTGGATAAGGAGTTTAGAAATCTCTCTTTATCAAGCTTTTTGGGCTAACTGTGAATGAGATAACTTTTAGAGATTGCTTTGTAGTGTTTTCTTGCTTCTCTATCTCATCGTGTCTTCTCCAGTCTTCCAAGGATGCTATTTATAGCTGGATTGGATAATATATCCGTTGAGTCAAAATAGACTATCTGTTGCATTTGCTGGTTTCAATTTTGAATGAAGATTGTGATTGAGGATTCTTCATTGGAATGGGTGTTTGGACATACCCAGTTGTTTGAGGAGGGATTCCTTTTTCCATAGAATCCGTCTTCTAGCTGTTGTTCAAAAATTCTGGACTGTAGCACTTTACTCAGTTTGTCTTCTAGTGCTTGTTTAGGAATTCTGGACGAACTCTTTAATTTGAGAGGTTCAGTCTTTGTCTTCAAGTCATTTGTTCTTGAATCAACATAATTATCTTCAATCTAGCCGTTGAAAATAAAGAGATTGATTTTTCCTTACCAACGGGTAAAATTTCTTCATTCAAGACTTAGATAATTTTCTAAGTCTTTTCGCACTTGTCCGCTTCTGAGAGTTCCGGTCTTTCTTGAGGCCGGCATCCGGTTCTTTGCTAACAAATCCGGAAGAGTCATTCACAGACTTCCGGGTGAGAAAGAGATCCGCGCTGGTCTTCCGATTTAGATGACTTAGCCTTCAGCGGGTTTTAGTGAGACATCCGGGTATCATGTAGTCTTCCGGAATAGTGGATTTTCAACTGCTTTGAAAAATCCTTACTTGTCTCTAACACTTCCGATCAAGATATCCAATTTCCATTTCATTGAATTTGATTAAGTCTTCAAGCATCAAACCACTTAAGGAAATATCACAACTTTATTGGAAATCTCAAGAACTCGGTGTTAACAATATTTCTAAAAAGAAAAATTACATTGAATATTAGGGGAGGCCTAAGGTCCCTATTACAATCTAAATACATCATCATCAAAATCTATAATATTTTTCCCAACAATTTCCCCCTTTTTGATGATGACAAACAAGTGTTTAAAAGTTCCGGTCGCTGTACTGAGAACTAATTTTATAACTTTCTTTTAGTTTCTCATAATATACAGCTTGTTAACAAAATTTCTTAAACAAATACAATTCAAATTACAATAATTCCTAAACCAAGTCTTGTCTTGAGATTTGTGATATTTTCTGCCATTTTCCGCTTTCACTTCCAGCAGATTTTGCTTGGTAGTACAGATGGCGGTGCGTTTAATAGATCTTTAATATCCAAAGTGGATATTTGAGATCTAGGAAGCAACATTTCTCCAAAAAGCAAAAACAAAAACAAAAAGAAAGTGGAGGGAAAGGAGGCGTCGGTGAAAGGAATGAAAAAGACAGAAGGACAAGAAAAAGGTTTTGGAAAAGGGATTTGATTGTGAAGAAGATAAAATAAGGGTTTTTAAAGATGAAGGAAAAAAATAAAATTTTGAAAAAGAGTTTAAAAGAAAAATATGGTGAAAGGGAAGAAATATTTTGAAAAAGTAATTTTGAAAAATGCTTGTGAGAAGGGAACAGAGACTGCACAAAAATTTTGAAAAATGCTTGGGGGATGGGTGCAGAGGCTGCTTAAAAATTAAAATTTGAAGAACAAAAAAGAGAGAAAGAGAAAGATGAAAGAAAATGGAGAGAGTGTTGTTCCAGAGAAGGTGTATGGTGTAATCCTGAAAAATACGAGATTTCCACCATATACCTCCTCTACTGCCGAGATTTTCACCATAGACCTTGAATGTCTTTTCTTCTCATTAGGCTTTCTCCATTGCCGTCTATGAGGGTGAGAAAGAAAAATTTTTCCATTGAGGATATTTTTCTTGGTGTTTTTCCTAGACAGTGAGTTTGAAGACTTTTCATATTGAAAGAGTTGTTTGTGATAGGAATGGATTGGAATGTCTCTGTTTAAATAGGAGAGGAGGTTGAGAGAGGGGAGGTTCACGGGTTCCATTAATTGGGTAGTTGGAACGGTGAGGGTAGAGGAGTTTCAACTTCCAAGAAGTTGAAAAGTTGAAGGAATCTTTTACCAATTACCAAGGAGTTGAAACTGTTTCAATTAAAATATTCAGTTTCGTTTTGTTTTTAAAACGTAACTGTTTTAGTTTGGCTAAGCCCAAAAGAGTGGCCCAAAAAAAATCTATGCACTAAAGGGAAATTATTCCTATTGGGTTCTCAAGGCCCAAAATAAAACTATCATTTTTCATTCCCTATAGTTCTAATTTCTAATTAGGACGAGGTAGTACCAAAAAAAAACATTAAGTAAAAATTTTATTTTTCACCATGATAAAAAGGTTTCAGGACATGTAATATTTTTAGGATTCCTGGTCATGAAAATCTCGCTTCAACCTTTACTTAATTCCTAATTTCGAATCAAATTCTTCCGTCTAAAACATTTCATGGACTTAGCCTCTAAAGGTTGAAATCATGATTTTGACTCTATAGACAGAAGGATTGCTTAGAGCTCATCAATAATTCATTGCCAAAAACAATTGTTAGCAAAAAAAACAGTTAAGTTCCCCCTGAATTACATTCCCCCTGAATGTATGCGCTCAGGAATAAATTTCAAAATCATACTTGAAATGAGTATAATCAAGCATAATAAGCATATTTAAGAGAAATATTAAGCAGTGTTTAAACCAAAACAAGCAATGTTTAAACAAGAAGGTGTTTTCATCAAAACAAAAATAGTGTTTTCACATACTTTCCCCCTGGTTTGATGAAAAAAGCCTTCAGTGCTTCTTGCGCTTAGAAGATCCGGCAATCTCACCAATGCCTTGCATGTTTCCACACTATTCTCTAATGCGCCTGAGGTTGTGGTATCTCTCCTTTGTGTGGTCATCATTTGAGAAGTGGGAGACAATGGTTCCTACAGCCTCTGTTCCATCTAGACCTGAGCTAGACAGATATTGTGCTGAGTTCTCCGGATTGTTCCTCTGAGCTTCCAGGATCAAATCCTTCATGTTCAAGTGTGAAGGAATGTAGGTGAGTTCTCCTTCCTTGACTTCAATTGGGAGTTCTGGAATCAAGGATGGACTATTGTGTTGGACAATTACATCTATCTTGCGATTTCCAGAATGCCCAAAATGCCTGAATAGCCTGAATGCTTCCTTCTGATTGTCAATAATGACCTTCAAGTAGTCTTTGGTTACTACTTGATTTGCTGAAGACACTGCCAGGGCTAACCTAATGTCCATCTGGAGAAAGGACACTTGCTTCTGTAGACTCACTGTAACACTTGCTATTTGCTCTTTGATTTTGTTAACCTCCTTGAGTTGAAGATAACTGTCAGATGCATATGTCTCCATTGTGTCGCTCACAGAGTTACTCAATAGAGAAATGATCTCTAGAGTCTTGTTCACTGATTTGCTTATCTCCTTGAGATCTGAGCAATGTTTCTCTTCAGATTTCTCCATCAGCTTGTTGTACCTGGCTTCCATCTGCTCTATCTCTTGCCTAAAGGAGGCATGCTGAGACTCTAGGGCTGATTCAATCAACCCTTGGACCTTTCTTGTCCAGGTTTCCGGTACCTCATCCGGAAGAGTTGGTGTGGAAGAGCTGTGAAAGTGGAAGTTAGTTACCTGATGTGAAGAAGGTGCTTTGTGGAAGAGTTGCAGGGGGGATTCAGCATCTCCTTGCTCAGCTTCTTCATCATCAATCTTCAATGTCCTTTCAGACTCTTCTTCTGTCTCATGAAGCATAAAGTTTGAGATATCCCTAGAGAGGGAATTTCTTTCTTCATCTCAAATGTTTTCATCAAAGATAGCAGCTGGAGTTTCAGAGGTCTCCAGTCCACCCATTTGAGCTTCCTTTTCTGCTTCTGCAGAACTCCTCTGGACTTCTGCAGCTTGGACTTCCTGAAGGGCTTCATTTGTTTCTGGAGGAGTGGACTTCTCCAGATTTTCTTCTGACTTCTCCGGAATCTCAAGTTCAGGCTGTTTGGAGATCTCACAAGGAGTTGTGAGAATCTCTTGAACTTGAGATTGGAGGAGTTGAAGAAGTTTTTCCTCTGAGGCTTCCTGGTGCTGTTCTTGTTGAGGGGAAGCTGCATTCTCCTGGGCAGCTTCAGGCAAAACAGTTTCATGGGCAGTGGAGGTTTCCAGGAAAACTTCGAAATCCTCTGCTGTGGCTTCCATATTGGCCTGTGCTTCTGTGGTAACAACCATCTGATCTTCTGTGGCCTTTGAGAAGATTGGCCTGTAGACTGAAGGATCTTCATCGTCGGCCTCAAATTCTAAAACTGGTGAGGTGACCAAGTATTCCAGATGCAAATCTTCATAGTTCCTTTGCCATACCAAGTCAACATCCAGGATTTGCTCACAACAATAGTTGACTGGCAGACCCAAGCATCTTTTGATGATCTTTTCATTTTTCAGTTGTTGGTCCCATCCCAACAACTGCTCTGCTGAGTTACCAACCTTCCAAGCTCTCCAGTCATAATAGATCTGCATGAATTGGCTCTCTGCATCATCAGTTTGAGCTTGTAGTGAGGGAGTTGGAGAACTCTGAACTTGGGGAATTTCTTCATCAAGTTGTTGAGGGATCTGGTTGTGGGCGGAAGTTTCCTCAACTGGTTCTTTTCCAATCAACTCATCCGGGTTGACATTTCCAGATGTGGAGGGAGAAGTAATTTTCCTTTTCTTCTTCCTTTGAAGTTCTCCATGTGCAAAAACTTCTTCTTCTTGTTCTTCTAGATTCACCAATGCTAGATTATGTGGTGCTTCAGCACTGGGAGAGGGAGACACTACTTGCTTCCTCTTTACTGACTTCTTCAGACTCATGATAAGGACATTGTCTGAAGAACTTTCTTCTGTAGTTGAACTGACTTTGTTTTCTCCTTTGGAAGATAGGTAGTAAAGCCAATATCTGGCTTCATATTTCTTGCCTTCAGAGGCAACACCCATGGACTCCAAGATGTACCCAAGGTACAGTCCTTGACACAGGTATTTCTGTTTGGGCTTTCCTAAGTGCTTGGAAATGGAATTGAAGAAATGTGCAGCCCAATTTACCTTAGATTTGGTAATGAGGGCGTTGATGATGAAGGCCCTCTCTTGAGTGATGTCATCAACATGTCCTCCACTTCCACATTCAAGGCATGCGATGACTAGCTCCAGGACTAATTTGTAGTCGTTGTTCATGTCTGCTTTCTTCGCTGGGCCAGAGGGGATTTGCCCAGAAATCCCAATAATCTTCCAATCCAGATTCTTGGCTGGAAGTTTCCCAATTTCACTTCCAGTATTGGGAAGATGAAGCTTCTCCTCCAATATCCTCTGTGAAATTTTTACTTTGGCCCCTCCAACAGTGGACTTGATAATCTGAATTGTCCTTTGTGGCTCCTTCTTCGATTGGACAGTCTTGACCTTTCTGTTCCTGTAGAATTCAAGAACTTCATCTTCATATTTGGAGTGAATCTCCATATGAAGAAAATCGGTAAGTTCTTGAGCAGCAATCATCTCCAGATAGCTTTTATAGAATGCCGGTGAAGAGCATTTGGCTTCCAACTTCTGGAAATGGACATTAGCGCCAAAAATCTTCATTTTCTCAGAAATTTGGGTGAGAGAATCTGAAGAATCTGAAGGATTTTAGGGTTTTTGAGAATTCTATCAGAGAGTTTTCGCGAAGAAGACGACGAAAATTTTAGTGGGCTGAGTGGGCAGTTGAGATCTGAATAGTGGCGATTGGGTTTAATTTGGGCGATTTATGCGGTTAGTGGCGATTGGGTTCCCAAGGCCACGTGAATACCCAATATTTTGACAGACGTGGAAAGTAGACTGCCACGTGTACCGCACTCAGTCTAATTGAATTAGACCAATTTTGTGAAGCAAATCGGAAAACTTGGCTTCACTCAGTGGTTTTGTGAAGATATCCGCCAATTGTTGCTCAGTTGAGATATACTCAATTTTGATATCTTTCTTTTCCACATGATCTCTGATGAAGTGGTTCTTGACATCAATGTGCTTAGTGCGAGAATGATGCACTGGATTTTGTGAGATGGCTATAGCACTTTGATTGTCACAAAAGATTGTCACTTCCTTTGTTTTGACTCCATAGTCCAGTAGTTGTTGTTTTAGCCATAAGATTTGAGCACAACAACTACCAGCAGCAATGTACTCTGCTTCTGCTGTTGATGTAGAGATGGAGTTTTGTTTCTTACTGAACCAAGAAACAAGATTTCCACCAATGAATTGACAAGTACCAGATGTACTCTTCCGATCAACTTTGCATCCGGCAAAGTCAGAATCTGAGTATCCCATTAACTCAACTTTGAATTTCTTAATAAGATCCCTTGTGTACTTGACTTGGTTGATGAGAGTCCCTTCACTTCTCTGTTTGATTTGAAGACCAAGGAAGTAGTTGAGTTCCCCCATCATGCTCATCTCAAATTTTCCTTGCATGAGGGTGGAGAACTTGGTGCAAAGATCTTCCTTAGTTGAGCCAAATATGATGTCGTCCACATAGATTTGGACCAATAAGAGATCTTCTCCATCTTGTAGTTTGAACAATGTCTTGTCAATGACTCCTTTGGTAAATCCATTGTCTATAAGGAATTGAGACAATGTATCATACCAAGCTCTTGGTGCTTGTTTGAGTCCATATAGCGCCTTTTTGAGTCTGTATACTTGATTGCCTTTAGTGTGTAACTCAAATCCTGGAGGTTGTTCCACATAAACTTCTTCCTCTAGGTTTCCGTTAAGAAATGCGCTTTTGACATCCATTTGATAGACTTTGAAGTCCTTATGAGCAGCAAAGGCTAGAAACAGCCTTATAGCTTCAAGTCTAGCAACTGGAGCGAAGGTTTCATCAAAATCTATACCTTCTTCTTGACAATATCCTTTTGCAACTAACCGGGATTTGTTTCTGACAACAACGCCTTTTTCATCCATCTTGTTCTGGAAGACCCACTTTGTCCCAATGACATGTTGATGAGTTAGTCTAGGAACAAGTTTCCAGACATCATTTCTAGTGAATTGATTGAGTTCTTCTTGCATTGCATTGATCCAATCAGAATCAGCTAGAGCTTCTTCAATGCTTTTTTGTTCCACTTGTGAGATGAAACAAGCAAGCATAGCTTCTAGATTCTGTTGGGCACTCCTTGTGCGAACACCAGATTGAATATCTCCAATGACTTGTTGAGGAGGATGATCCCTTAACCAACGAAGATTGTGTTGATTCGGGTTGACTGGTTGATCTAGTTCAGATTCTGGTTGAAGAACAGAGTTTGTTGGTGATTCCGGATGGATTGGCACTGGGTCGCCATTTCCGGAATTGTCGTTTGAGTGATCTGGAATATTGGAAGGTTGGCCAGGATTTCCGGTAGGCTCAGCACTGTCTGAATCTGGATTTTTTTGTGAAGTCTTCAGTGGTAGACTTCCGAATGGAATGAAATCCGTAGGCTTCAACCTGTCTCCTTCATTGACTTCTTCATCCTTGTCTGAGAGATCCAGAACCTCATGATCATGCTTTGATGGCTTGTCAACCACATGTTTTTCATCAAAAATAACATGTATTGACTCTTCAGTGATCATGGTTCTTTTGTTGAAGACTCTGAACGCCTTGCTCACCATGGAATATCCTAGGAAGATGGCCTCATCTGATTTCTCATCAAAAGTGTTCAAATAATTCTCCCCGTTGTTTAACACAAAGCACTTGCTCCCAAAAATATGGAAATATGATATATTAGGCTTTCTCCCATTCCACAGTTCATAGGGAGTTTTGTTGTGCCTTTTATAAATCATACTCCTATTTTGAGTATAGCAAGCTGTGTTTACGGCTTCAGCCCAAACCTCTTTGGTAAGAAAGCTTCGGCTAGCATGGTTCTTACTGCTTCCTTCAAGGTTCTGTTTCTTCTTTCAGCTACACCATTCTGTTGAGGCGTCCTTGCTGCGGATGTCTGATGAAGAATTCCGTTTTCTTCACAGTAGTGAATGATGATTTCATTCAGGAATTATGTGCCTTTGTCAGATCTGATCTTCTGGATGGTCTGACTTGCTTGGTTTTGAATCAGCTTCATGCAATTTGTGAGCTTTCCTTGAGTTTCCTTCTTGCTGTTGAGAAAGATTGTCCACGTGTATCTTGAGTAATCATCAACTACAACTAGGACATATTTCTTTCCACTTAGACTTATTGGTGTAACAGGGCCAAATAAGTCCATGTGCACAAGACTTAATATCCTTGTAGTTGAGGGTGCCGGTTTTCCCTTGAAAGTAGACTTGACTTGCTTTCCTTTCTGGCAAGCATCACAAATGCTTTCCTTCTTGAATACAGCTTTGGGAAGACCTTCTACTAACCCTTCTTTGGATAGCTTATTGAGAGTTTTGAAGTTGAGATGACTCAACCTCTTATGACAAAGCCATAGAAGGTTAGTGTCACCTTTGCTGATTAGGCATGCTTCCTTGACATCTTCCCACATCACTTCATAGATGTTTCTGAAAGGTAACCACGGTAGGGAGGGCAACGGAAATAAAAAATTTAATCTACCAATAGTGATTACTAGCCCAAGAACACGTACTAAAACTATAGCTAGAGATAGAAAGTTATACCTTCTCCGGTAAAGCGGTATGAATGAGAAGTCGAACAAAAGATGTTGAAGGAGCAAACGTAGCCGTTCAAGCGTCCGGCCTCCAACTTTGACACACGTACAATCTCCGGAGTCTACCTTAACACTTGTGCTAGCAAGTGTTAAAGTAGTATATTAGATATAAAGATTATTTTAGGGATAATATAAATCTTGTATATTAAATAGTAGAAAATATATCAATAATATTTTAAAGAAAATATTATATCAATTTTCTACACCCAAAATAATAAATTCGGAACTCAAAATTATGCTACTCTTGCTCTTCTCTTTGGCCGAATCTCTCCCTTCCTTTTAAAAGAAGAAAACATCATTTTTATATATCATTAAGGGAATAATGTACAAAGCTTCTCCAATTGCAAAAGTCCAAAAGTGCAAAGTGTATAATGAGGTGTAGTGGGAGACAAAGCCCCACACACCTAAGAACATGCACAGTACGAAAAACAAGGGGGAAGAATTTATTCTTCTCCTCTCAAATGTTCAAAGTGTATTTTATTTGACATCAATACTTTTTATGATATAAAATAAAATACCCAAAACATTTTAAAACAAGTATATAAAATATACTTTAAAATAGTTTTTGTCAAAATAATTATTTTCATAATTAAATGACACTCCAAAATAAAATATACTCCAAAACATATTTTGATATATGTATTATTGTTATTACTACACCGTACGTACGCATATAAGTAATAATGCATACATAAATATGCACACCACCATACATACATATATATGATGTAAAAGTATAAAAGTTTACTAAATTGTAAACGTGATATACACATATATATATACATTATTATTATAACAAAAAAAACGTACGTACTAAGTAATAAATACATATACAAAATATATTTACATATTTTATTATACTATTTTACAATATACAAATTAAATATTATCCCTTTTTATAATCCTACTCTTTAAATTGTTCAAAGTGTGTGACCCATATATGCACTTATAAAACTGGCCACAGTATTGACTCAACGCCAATACTATAAGTAATAAGCGGTATCTAGCAACACATTATTACCCCCAGATTATAAGTTCAGACGTTTGCTCCGTCAAAACCTTTCTACGACTAAGACTTTGTATAACGTAGATCCTTTTGTCTCAATGTCTTAACTTAGTGCAAGGGATAAAATATCCAACTTGTAGCCATTAAGTTATCTATTGATTAACAAGTCTGACTGATGAGAACAGATGTCTAAACTCATCTCAGCATGGCCATGCATTTCTTCAGTCATACTTATCAGTGGGCCCCTACAAGACATTATTCTGCTTGAGTAGCAGTGACAAATTCTTTGTACGTAATCTACGTCTTCGAATATGTGCAGCGGTAAGCCCAACACAAAGCCTGTGTACCATCCTTATTTCATACGGCTTAGGAAAATGAATCAAAGCATGCGGGTTCACACATTCGAAGAACGTAATACTTCAAGTCTGAGGATCGTTATACCAATAGTCGCATTAAGGACACTTAGAGCATAGACTAAAAGTCTAGGCAATGCTCTTAAGGTGGGTCAGGTCTGGCATCCTATTATTAACGATAATATCTGCCCAAGAGTAGATGCGAACACTCCGTCATTGACCAAGAGACTAGGTCAAACATCTAACTCTCACTAGTCTCACACGCATTAAGGATATCCTGCTCTCGTTAATGCTTCGACTATAGACCGTTCAGAATTATACTAAGTGACAAGATGTCAGTCTCAACATCAGAAAACTCATTCTGATAAACATCTTATAATATAATTCTAGGAATGCAATTAAGAGTTTACATTAGCATGAGATGTTTGTAAACTTAATGCATCTGCCTTTACATGATAGAAAATATCTAAGATATTACAACAGCAGTTGGCCATAAGGGCACCAACTCCAACAGTTTCTGATTCTCTTCCCAGTGAGAATGACTTCATTTGTGGAGATGTTATTGAGGGATGCCATGTTCTTGCAAAATTCCAAGGAGTAACCTTTATCACAAAACTGACTTATGCTAAGAAGGTTATAATTGAGACCTTCCACATAAGATACAGCTTGGATGGTTAGTCCCTTGTACACTAGATTTCCTAGCCCTTTAGTAAGGCCAAAATCATTGCTTCCTCCAAAAGTAACTCTTGGACCATCATAGGGAATTATATTGCTCAAAAGGCTCGCATCACCCGTCATGTGTCTTGAACAACCACTGTCTAAGTACCAGACACCTAAGTACTTAGCGGCTTCTTGTATTAGGAGGAGGAAGATTTTGGTACCCAATTAAGTTTGGGTCCAGAATAGTTAATGGTGTGTGTCCCTACATCAAGTTTGAAGTTGCAGAGAATTTTCCTTGTAGCCCTAAACTTGTTGGGATTGTAGTCATAGTTGTAGGCATAAAACTTCCTACGTGCTCGAGGTGCAATTTCATGTTTCCTCCTAGCAAACTTAGGTTGATAAGACCTATAGTTCTGTCTAGGTTGTGCATAGTGTGGCCTGTGATGGTTGTAAGCATACTTAGGTGGAACAAATAGTTTCTGGGGTGGAGGATGACTATATTTTGGCATAGTTCTCCACTCAGAATTTCTCGGAAAACTCCTATCTACCCCATAATGAGTATAGCCTCGTGTATATTGGGGGTTAGAAGGTTTTCGTCTGAAATTGTTTCCTTTTTGAGGTCTGTCCAGCTTCTTATAGTTCTTAGGAGGGACTACCTTTTTGGGAATTTCTGTGGGTTTCTCCTTCTCCTTTCCTTTCTGCTTATTGGGTTTGGCAGTAGGTTTAGGAGGGATGAAAGTTGTTCTCCCTTTCCTTTTAAAACTGGAGGGGTCAAACCCAAGTCCTTCACGACCCTTATGTTTGGTCGTTTCAAGAAGCTTATCCACTGCTTCTTTGGACTTAAGAATCCCTAGCTTCTTGTTGAGGGATTTCACTTTTTCAGAGAGAGATTCATTTTCAGTCTTGAGTTGAGTGATCTCATCTAGTTGACTTTTCCGACCTTCAGTCAACTTGAGATTCTCTTCACTCAATAGCTTGTTTTCCTCTGTTAAAGATGAGTGTTTGAGATTTATTTCCTCAAAATCTTCCATCATCTTTTTGAACTGGTCAAAAAGATTTTCAGAAGTCAGTATGCTTTCATAAGAAGATGAGCAGGAGGTTTGTGAAGTTACCTCTTGATCAGCATCATCTTTGGCCATTAGGCAGAGAGTGTCATCTTCTGACATAGTCCATCTATCCTCATGGTTGGACTTCTCAGCTCTGCGCTCCATGCAGACGAGGGCTTCTTCATCCGAGCTTGAGCTGGATGACTCGTCACTTTCAGCAGCAACCATTGCCTTCTTTTTCTTCTCGTTTCTTTCTCTTTCTCCATACTTTTCCACCTTAGGGTACGGGCATGCTGACTTCCAGTGGCCAGGCTTTCTGCAGTTATAACACAGATAAGATTCAGGAGGGGAGTCACTTACCTGTGGGTTTCCCTTGGATGGCTTTCTGACTGAGTCAGCATTCTTGAAGAACTTCTTGAACTTCCGGAATTGCTTGACCATCATGGCAAATTCCTTATCGTATTTCTCCATTTTTGAGCTTGACGGCTGGCTGGAGGAAGGTGTGTCATAGTTCCTTGGGCATGTCCCTTCACTTGGTGGGACTCTTGGAGTTGTCATCAATGCCGTGGGGAAGGGAGTGACTTGTTCTTCCTTCTTCTTCTTCAGCTCATGCTCATAGGTTCTGAGCTCATCAAGGAGACCGTGGACTGTGTAGTTCTCCAGGTTTCTTCCATCTTCCATGGCTGTGGCCTTAGTGTACCACTCAGTTGGAAAAGACCTCAGTAACCTTACATTCTTTTCTTTGGGAGAAAGAACGTGGTTAAGTGATTCAAGATCATTCAAGATTTTGTGGAATCTTTCATCCAACATATCAAATGATTCTCCGGGAAGCATTTTGAAGCTTTTGAACTTTTCAAGCAGGACTTCTATCTTCTGCTTTCTCAAGTCCTCTGATCTCTCACATAGCTTCCTAAGACCTTGCCATATCTCCATGGCAGTCTTGAGATGCTTGATCTTGGAGAAGGTGATGGGATCAAGTGTCTTGAAGATGGCTACTTTGGCGACGTTGTCCAGATTGTGCTTCTTGCAATCTCTATCATCCCATTTCTCCTTGGGCTTTGAAATGTACTGAACCACATCTGGAGTGGCTGGATTCCTCTCAGGATTCTCCATTTGGATTTTCAAGGGTCCATCCTCAAGCACTATCCACATGCAATCATGTAGGACGTAGAGGTGTGCTTCCATCATGATCTTTCAATCATCATAACCTAGAAGAGAAAACTTGGGCAAACCGTGATCCATATTGTTCACCATTATGATCGCTTCTCGTTAATCTAAACGTAGATAGTGAGAAGTAAGCTCTGATACCAATTGGTGGTCCCAAAGTGGTGAAATATAAAGTCTAGAGGGGGGTGAATAGACTTTGTTACAAATTTAAAACTTTTTCGTTTCTTTTGAAAACGTGAAAATGAGTGTTAATCTAGAGTTCTTGTGAACTTTAGATTGTGTGCGGAATTTGGTGGGTAGTATGAGCAGTAATCAATATGGATGGGTTAGTTTTCACAGTTAATATAATTGCAAGTATAAGTAAAGATAAAAGAGAGAGACTCGCAAACTTTAACGAGGTTCGAAGGTGGGGTAATCCTTCTACGTCCTCAAAATCCACTATGTAGTTGGTTGTTGAATAATGAACCAACAATTACACTTGTGTGAATTTCTGCACGGTATATCTTCGCAAGGCAAATGTTGCTACTGCACTCGTGCTGACTTTGTTGTTCCTTCGAAGGTCACGCTTCTTCAACAACTGCAAGATCCGAACAATAGGACTTGCAAGATCAACTTGTAAGAAAGTTTATCTACCCCCTTTTAATCAAGAAGTTTGATTAAAAGTAATATCCTTCAACGTGGTGTGGTACTTGAGGCAAGAAAACCTTCAAGTGTTTACACTATAGCTCTTTGGAAGGAGGAGAAGTTTGCTTCTGGATAAGGAGTTTAGAAATCTCTCTTTATCAAGCTTTTTGGGCTAACTGTGAATGAGATAGCTTTTAGAGATTGCTTTGTAGTGTTTTCTTGCTTCTCTATCTCATCGTGTCTTCTCCAGTCTTCCAAGGATGCTATTTATAGCTGGATTGGATAATCTATCCGTTAAGTCAAAATAGACTATCCGTTGCATTTGCTGGCTTCAATTTTGATTGAAGATTGTGATTGAGGATTCTTCATTGGAATGGGTGTTTGGACATACCCAGTTGTTTGAGGAGGGATTCCTTTTTCCACAGAATCCGTCTTCTAGCTGTTGTTCAAGAATTCTGGACTGTAGCACTTTACTCAGTTTGTCTTCTAGTGCTTGTTTAGGAATTCTGGACGAACTCTTTAATTTGAGAGGTCCAGTCTTTGTCTTCAAGTCATTTGTTCTTGAATCAGCATAATTATTATCTTCAATCTAGCCGTTGAAAATCAAGAGATTGATTTTTCCTTACCAACGGGTAGAATTTCTTCATTCAAGACTTAGATAATTTTCTAAGTCTTTTCTCACTTGTCTGCTTCTGAGAGTTCCGGTCTTTCTTGAGGCATCCGGTTCTTTGCTGACAAATCCGGAAGAGTCATTCACAGATTTCCGGGTGAGAAAGAGATCCGCACTGGTCTTCCGATTTGGATGACTTAGCCTTCAGTGGGTTGTAGGGAGACATCCGGGTATCATGTAGTCTTCCGGAATAGTGGATTTTCAACTGCTTTGAAAAATCCTTACTTGTCTCTGACACTTCCGATCAAGATATCCAATTTCCATATCACTGAATTTGATTAAGTCTTCAAGCATCAAACCACTTAAGGAAATATCACAACTTTATTGGAAATCTCAAGAACTCGGTTTTAACAATATTTCTAAAAGGAAAAATTACATTGAATATTGGGGGAGGCCTAAAGTCCCTATTACAATCTAAATACATCATCATCAAAATCTAAAATATTTTTCCCAACAGGGGGGTGAATAGAGTTGTTGAGAATGGTTACCGATTTTCGCAGGATTAAAAAAATAAACGTTAGTGCAGCGGAAATAAAAAGAGAAGGCAAGAACACACCGATGTATACTGGTTCACCACCTCATGGCTAGTCTAGTTCCCCGAGAGACTCTCTCGAAGCTACCACTACTTCCGTTAAGCTTACGGGTGCTTAACAAACCGTTTACAACTCGAGAACTTGAATCCCACAAGCCTCGACACAACCGCTCGTAGATATGCCCTCTACAAGACTTCACAACCAAGACTTAAATCACATAAGCCTTGAACAACAAGAAGAACAATCATCTTCAACCTCTCAACAATAGCTCTCAAAAGAGTAGATAAGAGAAAAGATTAAAGCTCTAATGCATGACAAAACACTCTCTTGAAAACACTTAGTTTTCTCTCAAAATATATCAATTTGAGGAAGAAATGAATGGAGGATTATAACCTCAAGATTGAGGGAGTTTAGGAGTGCTTGTTCATTATAAAAACGACCAAGGAGTGAAGTTTATAAAGGGGTTGAAGGAATATATCTGTTGGTCCAAAGAAAGAAGCTAGGATGAAAAATGCAGCATACAAATTGTTGGGAAAAATATAGATTTTGATGAGACTTTAGGTCTCCCCCTAATATTCAATGTAATTTTTCTTCTTAGAAATACTGTTAAAACCGAGTCTTTAGATTTCCAATAAAATTGTGATATTTCTTTAAGCGGTTTGATGCCTGAAGACTTAATCAAATTCAGTGATTTGGAAATTGGATATCTTGATCGGAAATGTCAGAGACAAGTAAGGATTTCTCAAAGCGGTTGAAAATCCTCAAATCCGGAAGACTACATAAGAACCGGATGTCTCGCTACAACCCGCTGAAGGCTAAGTCGGAAGACTAGCGCGGATTTCTTTCTCACCTGTGAGACTGAGAACGACTCCTCCGAATTTGTCAGCCAAGAACCGGATGCCTCAAGAAATACCGGAATTCTCAGAAAGCAGACAAGTGACAAGAAATACCGGAATTCTCAAGAACCTCTTGATTTTCAACGGCTAGATTGAAGATAATTATGCTGATTCAAGAACGAATGACTCAAAGACAAAGTCTGGACCTCTAAAATTTGAAGAGCCTGTCCAGAATTCCTAAACAAGCACTAAAGAAGACAAACAGAGTAAAGTGCTACAGTCCAGAATTCTTGAACAACAGCTAGAAGACGGATTCTGTGGAAAAAGGAATCCCTCCTAAAACACCCATTCCAACGGATTCAAATCACAATCTTCATTCAAAATTGAAGCCAGCAAATGCAACGGATAGTCTATTGTGATTCAACGGATAGATTATCCAATCCAGCTATAAATAGCATCCTTGGAAGACTGGAGAAAATAATGACGATGAGATACAACAACAACTAAGAGCAATCTCTAATAACAAAGCTATCTCATTCACAGTTTGTCCAAAAAGCTTGAAAAAGAGAGATTTCTAAAACTCCTTATCCAGAAGCAAACTTCTCCTCCTTCCAAAGAGCTATAGTGTAAACACTTGAAGGTTTCCTTGCCTCAAGTACCACACCACGTTGAAGGATACAACTTTTGATCAAACTTATTGATTAAAAGGGGGTAGGTCAACTTTCTTACAAGTTGGTCTTGCAAGTCCNTGCAGAAATTCACACAAGTGTAATTGTTGGTTCATTATTCAACAACCAACTACATAGTGGATTTTGAGGACGTAGAAGGATTACCCCACCTTCGAACCTCGTTAAAGTTTGCGTGTCTCTCTCTCTTATCTTTATTCTTACTTGCAATTATATTAACTGTGAAAACTAACCCATCCATATTGATTACTGCTCACCCTACCTACCAAATTCCGCACACAATCTAAAGTTCACAAGAACTCTAGATTAACACTCATTTTCACGTTTTCAAAAGAAACGAAAAAGTTTTAAATTTGTAACAAAGTCTATTCACCCCCCCTCTAGACTTTGTATCTCACCACTTTGGGACCACCAATTGGTATCAGAGCGAACTTCTCACTATCTACGTTTAGATTAACGAGAAGCGATCATAATGGTGAACAATATGGATCACGGTTTGCCCAATGTTTCTCTTCTAGGTTATGATGATTGGAAGATCATGATTGAAGCACATCTCTACGCTCTACATGACTACATGTGGATGGTGCTTGAGGATGGACCCTTGAAAATCCAAATGGAGAATCCTTAGAGGAATCCAGCAACTCCATATGTAGTCCAGTACATTCCAAAGCCCAAAGAAAAATGGGATGATAGAGATTGCAAAAAGCACAATCTGGACAACGTCGCCAAAGCAGCCATCTTCAAGACACTTGATCCCATCACCTTCTCCAAGATTAAGCATCTCAAGACTGCCATGGAGATATGGCAAGGTCTTGGGAAGCTATGTGAGGGATCAGAGGACTTAAGAAAGCAGAAGATAGAGGTCCTGCTTGAGAAGTTCAAAAGCTTCAAAATGCTTCCCGGAGAATCATTTGATATGTTGGATGAAAGGTTCCACAAAATCTTAAATAATCTTGCATCACTTAACCACGTTCTTTCTCCCAAAGAAAAGAATGTAAGGTTGCTGAGATCACTTCCAACCGAGTGGTACACCAAAGCCACAGCCATGGAAGAAGGAAGAAACCTGGAAAACTACACTGTCCAAGGTCTTCTTGATGAGCTCAGAACCTATGAGCACGAGCTGAAGAAGAAGAAGGAAGAAAAAGTCACTCCCTTCCCTACGGCATTGATGACAACTCCAAGAGTCCCATCAAGTGAAGGGACATGCACAAGAAACTGTGACACACCTTCCTCCAGCCAGCCGTCAAGCTCAAAAATGGAGAACTACGATGAGGAATTTGCCATGATGGTCAAACAATTCCGGAAGTTCAAGAAGTTCTTCAAGAAGGCTGACTCAGTCAGAAGGCCATCCAAGGGAAAGCCACAGGTAAGTGACTCCCCTCCTGAATCTTATTTATGTTATAACTGCAGAAAGCCTGGCCACTGGAAGTCAGCATGCCCGTACCCTAAGGTGGAAAAGTACGGAGAAAGAGAAAGAAACGAGAAGAAAAAGAAGGCAATGGTTGCTGCTGAAAGTGACGAGTCATCCAGCTCAAGCTCAGATGAAGAAGCCCTCGTCTGCATGGAGCGGAGAGTTGAGAAGTCCAACCATGAGGATAGGTGGACAATGTCAGAAGATGACACTCTCTGCCTAATGGCCAAAGATGATGCTGATCAAGAGGTAACTTCACAAACCTCCTGCTCATCTTCTTATGAAAGCATACCAACTTCTGAAAATCTTTTTGACCAGTTCAAAAAGATGATGGAAGACTTTGAGGAAATAAATCTCAAACATTCATCCTTAACAGAGGAGAACAAACTATTGTGTGAAGAGAATCTTAAGTTGACTGAAGGTCGGAAAAGTCAACTGGATGAGATCACTCAACTCAAGACTGAAAATGAATCTCTCTCTGAAAAGGTGAAATCCCTTAACAAAGAGCTAGGGATACTTAAGTCCAAAGAAGCAGTGGACAAGCTTCTTGAAACGACCAAACAAAAGGGTCGTGAAGGACTTGGGTTTGACCCCTCTAGTTCCAAAAGGAAAGGGAGAACAACCTCCATCCCTCCTAAACCTACTGCCAAACCGAATAAGCAGAAAGGAAAGGAAAAGGAGAAACCAACAGAAGTTCCCAAAAAGGTAGTCCCTCCTAAGAACTATAGGAAGCTGGACAGACCTCAAAGAGGAAATAATTTCAGAAGAAAACCTTCTAACCCCCACTATACACGAGGCTATACTCATTATGGGGTAAATATGAGTTTTCCAAGAAATTCTGAGTGGAGAACTATGCCAAGATATAGTCACCCTCCACCCCAGAAACTATTTGTGCCACCTAAGTATGCTTATAACCGTCACAGGTCACACTATGCACAACCTAGACAAAACTATAGGTCTTATCAACCTAGGTTTGCTAGGAGGAAACAGGAAATAGCACCTCCTGCACGTAGGAAATTCTATGCCTACAACTATGATTACAATCCCAACAAGTTTAGAGCTGCAAGGAAAATTCCCTGCAACTTCAAACTTGATGTAGGGACACACACCATTAACTACTCCGGACCCAAACTTAATTGGGTACCAAAATCCTCCTCCTCCTAATGCAGGAAGCCGCTAAGTACCCAGGTGTCTGGTACTTAGACAGTGGCTGCTCAAGACACATGACGGGTGATGCGAGCCTTTTGAGCAATCTAATTCCCTATGATGGTCCAAGAGTTACTTTTGGAGTAAGCAATGATTTTGGCCTTACTAAAGGGCTAGGAAATCTGGTGTACAAGGGACTAACCATCTAAGCTGTATCTTATGTTGAAGGTCTCAATTATAACCTTCTTAGCATAAGTCAGTTTTGTGATAAAGGTTACTCCTTGGAATTCTGCAGGGACATGGCATCTCTCAAGAACATCTCCACAAATGAAGTCATTCTCACTAGGAAGAGAATCAGAAACATCTATGAAGTAATGTGGGACAATGTCAAGGAAGCATGTCTAATCAGCAAAGGTGACACTAACCTTCTATGGCTTTGGCATAAGAGGTTGAGTAATCTCAACTTCAAAACTCTCAACAAGCTGTCCAAAGAAGGATTAGTAGAAGGTCTTCCCAAAGCTGTATTTAGGAAGGAAAGCATTTGTGATGCTTGCCAAAAAGGAAAGCAAGTCAAGTCTACTTTCAAGGCAAAACCGGCACCCTCAACTACAAGGATATTAAGTCTTATTAAAATGGACCTATTTGGCCCTGTTACACCAATAAGTCTAAGTGGAATGAAATATGTTCTGGTGGTAGTTGATGATTACTCAAGATACACGTGGACAATCTTCCTCAACAGTAGGAAGGAGACTCAAGGGAAACTCACCAACTGCATGAAGCTGATTCAAAACCAAGCAAGTCAGACCATTCAGAAGATCAGATCTGACAAAGGCACAGAATTTCTGAATGAAATCATCATTCACTACTGTGAAGAAAACGGAATTCTTCATCAGACATCCGCAGTAAGGACGCCTCAACAGAATGGTGTAGCTGAAAGAAGGAACAGAACCTTGAAGGAAGCAGTAAGGACGATGCTAGCTGAAGCTTCTTTACAAAAGAGGTTCTGGGCTGAAGCTGTTAACACAGCCTGCTATACTCAAAATAGGAGTATGATTTATAAAAGACACAACAAAACTCCCTATGAACTATGGAACGGGAGAAAGCCTAATATATCATATTTCCAAATTTTTGGGAGCAAGTGCTTTGTGTTAAACAATGGGAAGAATCATCTGAACACTTTTGATGAGAAATCAGATGAGGCCATCTTTCTAGGATACTCCATGGTGAGCAAGGCATTCAGAGTCCCCAACAAAAGAACCATGATCACTGAAGAGTCAATACATGTTATTTTTGATGAAAAACATGTGGTTGACAAGCCATTAAAGCATGATCATGAGGTTCTGGATCTATCAGACAAGGATGAAGAAGTTAATGAAGCAGATAGAATGAAGCCCACGGAGTTCATTCCATTCAGAAGTCTACCACTGAAGACTTCACAGAGAAATCCGGATTCAGACAATGCTGAGCGTACCAAAAATTTTGGCCAGCCTTCCAATATTCCGGATCTCTCAAATGGCGACTCAGTACCAATCCATCCGGAAACACCAACAACTTCTATTCTTCAACCAGAAGCTGAACTAGATCAGCCAGTCAATCCCAATCAAAACAATCTTCGTTGGTTAAGGGATCATCCTCCTCAACAGATCATTGGAGATATTCAATCTGGCGTTCGCACAAGGAGTGCCCAAAAGAATCTAGAAGCTATGCTTGCTTGTTTCATCTCACAAGTGGAACCAAAGAATATTGAAGAAGCTCTAGCTGATTCTGATTGGATCAATGCAATGCAAGAAGAACTCAACCAATTTTCCAGAAATGACGTCTAGAAACTTGTTCCCAAACGTACTCATCAACATGTCATTGGGACAAAGTGGGTCTTCCGGAACAAGATGGACGAAAACGGCGTTGTTGTCAGAAACAAAGCCCGGTTAGTTGCAAAAGGATATTGTCAAGAAGAAGGTATAGATTTTGATGAAACCTTCGCTCCAGTTGCTAGACTTGAAGCTATAAGGCTGTTTCTAGCCTTTGCTGCTCACAAGAACTTCAAAGTCTATCAAATGGATGTCAAAAGCGCATTTCTCAACGGAAACCTCGAGGAAGAAGTTTATGTGGAACAACCTCCAGGATTTGAGTTACACACTAAGGGAGATCAAGTGTATAGACTCAAAAAGGCGCTGTATGGACTCAAACAAGCACCAAGAGCTTGGTATGATACATTGTCTCAATTTCTTATAGACAATGGATTTACCAAAGGAGCCATTGACAAGACTTTGTTCAAACTACAAGATGGAGAAGATCTCCTATTAGTCCAAATCTATGTGGACGACATCATATTTGGCTCAACTAAGGAAAATCTCTGCACCAAGTTCTCAACCCTCATGCAAGGAAAATTTAAGATGAGCATGATGGGAGAACTCAACTACTTCCTTGGCCTTCAAATCAAACAGAGAAGTGAAGGGACTCTCATCAACCAAGCCAAGTACACAAGGGATCTTATTAAGAAATTAAAAGTTGATCAGAAGTTGATCAAAGGAACTCAGAATATGGGATTGTGGTATGCTAAGAGCAATTCATTTAAGTTAGTAGGATACTCAGATTCTGACTTTGCCGGATGCAAAGTTGACCGGAAAAGTACATATGGTACTTGTCAATTCATTGGTGGAAATCTTGTTTCTTGGTTCAGTAAGAAACAAAACTCCATTTCTACATCAACAGCAGAAGCAGAGTACATTGCTGCTGGGAGTTGTTGTGCTCAGATTTTGTGGCTAAAACAACAACTACTGGACTATGGAGTCAAGACGAAGGAAGTGACAATCTTTTGTGACAATCAAAGTGTCATAGCCATCTCACAAAATCCAGTGCATCATTCTCGCACTAAGCACATTGATGTCAAGCATCACTTCATCAGAAATCATGTGGAAAAGAAAGATATCAAAATTGAGTATATCTCAACTGAAGAACAACTGGCGGATATCTTCACAAAACCACTAAGTGAAGCCAAGTTTTCCGATTTGCTTCATAAAATTGGTCTAATTCAATTAGACTGAGTGCGGTACACGTGGTAGTTCACTTTCTACGTCTGTCAAAATATTGGATAGGCACGTGGCCTTGGGAACAGTCAAAAACCCAATCGCCACTAGCCGCATAAATCGCCAAATCAGACCCAATCGCCACTATTCAGATCTCAACCGCCCACTCAAAGTTTTTCGTCGTCTTCTTCGCGAGAAACTCTCAAGAACCCCAAGATTTTTTTCTTTCCAATTCTCACTCAAATTTCTGAGAAAATGAAGGTTGTCGGCGCAAATATTCATTTCCAGAAGTTAGAAACCAAGTGCTCTTCACCGACATTCTATCAAACTATCTGGAAATGATAGCCGCTCAAGAACTCTCCGAATTTCTTCAAATGGAGATTCGCCTCAAATTTGAAGAAGAAGTTCTTGAATTCTACAGAAATGGAAGGGTCATGTCTGTTAAATCAAAGAAGGACCCACAGAGGATGTTTCAAGTCATCAAGTCGAATATTGGAAGGACCAAAGTGAAGCTTTCGCAGAAGAAATTGGGAGAAAAGCTTCACCTTCCCAATTCTGGAGTTGAAATTGGGAGATTTCCAGTCAAAAATCTGGACTAGAACGCTATTGGAATTTCTAGGCAAGCTCCTTCTGGCCCAACGAAGAAAGCAGATCTGAACAACGACTACAAGTTAGTTTTGGAACTGGTCATCGCTTGCCTCGAGTGTGGAAGTGGAGGTCATGCCGATGACATCACGCAGGAGAGAGCCTTCATCATCAACGCTCTCATTACCAAATCTAAAGTAAATTGGGCTGCACACTTCTTCAAATCCATCTCAAAACATCTGGGAAAGCACAATCAGAAGTACCTTTGTCAAGGTCTGTACATTGGACATATTTTGGAGTCTATGGGTGCTGCTTCTAAAGGAAAGAAGTATGAAGAAAGATATTGGTTATATTATCCCTCTCCAAGTGTTGAAGCACCACAGAACCTTGCTTTGGTCAATCTTGAAGAAGTAGAAGAAGTCTCTGACCAAGGAGAACTTCAAAGGAAGAAGAAGAGGAAAATCACCTCTCCTTCAACATCTAGAAATGTCAACTCGGATAAGTTGAAGGAGAAGGAACTTGCTGAGGAAACCTCTGCCCAAAACCGGAGTCCTCAACAACTTGAAGAAGAAGAAATTCCTCAAGTCCAAAGTCTTCCAACCCCCTCACCTCAACCTCAAACAGATGATGCTGATAACCAATTCTGGCAGCTCTACTATGATTGGAGAGCCTGGAAAGTTGGAAATTCAGCAGAGCAATTGTTGGATTGGGACCAACAACTGAAGAATGAGAAGATTATCAAGAAGTGCTTAGGAATACCAGTCAACCACAGCTGTGAACAAATTTTGGATGACCACTGGGTATGGCAAAGGAACCATGAAGACTTGCATCTGGAGTACCTGGTCGACACACCAGCTTCAGAATTTGAAGTGGATGATGAGGATCCTGCAGTCTACAAGCCAGTCTTCTCAAGAGCCACAGCAGAACAGGTGGTTCTCACATCTGAAGCACAAGCTGACTTGGAAGCAACAGCTGAGGAGTTCCAAATATTTCCGGAAACCTCACCTGCCTTTGAAACGGTTCTGACTGAAGCTGTCCAGGAGAATGCAGCTTCTCCCTTACAAGAGCAGAACAAGAAAACAGCAAAAGAAGAGGAATTTCAGCAACTAATCCAATCTCAAGTTTTAGAGACTCTCACAACTCCTTGTGAGATCTCCAATCCTACTGAAACTGAGATCCCGGAGAAGTCAGCAGAAATTCCGGAGCAGTCAACTTTTCCAGAAACAAATGAAGAGGAGCAAGCCGTAGAAGTCCAAAGGAATTCTGGAGAAGCTGAGAAGGAAACTCAAATGGCAGAACTGGAAGTTTCTAAAACTCCAATAGCCACTTTTGAAGAGCAGAATGAAGCTGAAGAAAGAGACTCCCTCTCTAGGGATATATCAAATTTTATCCTTGATGAAGCAGAGGAAGAATCTGAAAGAACGCTGAGTATCAATGATGAAGAAGATGTGCAAGAAAATGCTCAGTCTCTTCCTATGCAACTCTTCCAAAGAACACCATCTTCTCATCAGGTAACCAACTTTCATTTTCATAGCTCTTCCACCCCTACACTTCCGGATGAGATACCGGAAATCTGGACAAAGAAGGTCCAAGGGCTGATTGAATCAGCCCTAGCATCTCAACATGCCTCCTTTAGGCAAGAGATAGAGCAAATGGAAGTCAGGTACACCAAGCTGATAAAGAAATCTGAAGAGAAACACAGCGCAGATCTCAAAGAAATAAGCAAGTCAGTGCACAAGACTCTAGAGATCATCTCTCTATTGAGTAAAACTGTGAGCAACACGATGGAGACATATGCATCTGACAGTTATCTTCAACTCAAGGATGTTGACAAGATCAAAGAACAAATAGCAAATGTCACCGTCAGCCTACAGAAACAATTGTCCCTTCTCCAAATGGACATCAGATCAGCCCTGGCAGTATCTTCAGCAAATCAGGTAGTGACCAAAGACTACTTGAAGGTGATCATTGACAATCAGAAGGAAGCATTCAAACTATTCAGACTTCTTGGCGCAAAGTCTGGAAATCGCAAGATGGAAGTGATTCTTCAACAACACAGTCCATCCTTGATACCAGAACTCCCCATTGCAGTCAAAGAAGGAGAAGTCTCTTATATCCCTTCTCATCTGAACATGACTAATCTAATCCTTGAAGCACAGCAAAGAAATCCGGAGAACTCAGCACAGCACCTATCCAGCTCAGGATTGGATGGAACAGAGGCTGTAGGAACAATTGCTGCTCATTTCTCAATTGATGATCAAACAGAGGAAAGACGCAACAATATAAGGCGCATCAAAGAACTGTGTGGAAACATGCAAGGTATCAGTGAGGCTGCCGGATCTTCAAAACGCAAGAGGAACTGAAGGTTCTTTTCATCAAAACAGGGGGAAAGTATGTGAAAACACTAATTTGTTTTGATAAAAACACCTTCTTGTTTAAACATTGCTTGATCAGTTTAAACATTGCTTCAATCTCTCTCTTAATTGTGCTTATTATGCTTGATTATGCCTAATTCAAGTATGACTTTGAGAATTCTTTTTCTGAAGCGCACACATTCAGGGGGAACTTAACTAGTTTTGGCTAAAAATTGTTTTTGGCAATGAATTATTGATGAGCTCTAAGCAATGGAAGACGGATATCTCAGTTTTGGTACTAAAATTGGAAATCTCCGATTCAGGTACTTTACAAAATCTGCCTTCTTAAACTAAGCTTTAATCCTTAATTCATTTCCAACTAGCTCTAAAAGTACTGGTCCTTAGGATTTTTATAATGTACAGGACTTTGGAAAAATAGTACCACTTTTCTTTTAAAAATGAATTTCATATTTTTTTTGTTACTACCTCGTCCTAATTAGAAATTAGAACTATAGGGAATGAAAAATGATAGTTTTATTTTGGGCCTTGAGAACCCAATAGGAATAATTTCCCTTTAGTACATAGCTTTCTTTTCTTTTTGGGCCACTCTTGTGGGCTTAGCCAAAGTAAAACAGTTACGTTTCTCAAACCAAACGAAACTGACTTTCTAATTGGAACAGTTTCAACTCATTGATAACTAGGAAAAGATTCCTTTCACTTTTCAACTTCTTGGAAGTTGAAACTCCATTACTCTCACCGTTCCAACTACTCACTTAATGGAACCCGTGAACCTCCTCCTCCCCTATTTAAATCAAGACATTCCAATCCATTTCCATCACAAACAACTCTCTCAATATGAAAGTCTTCAAGTTCACTGTCTGAGAAAAATACCAAGAAAAATATCCTCAATGGAGAAATTTTTCTTTCTCACCCTCATAGACGGCAATGGAGACAAGCCTAGTGAGAAGAAAAGTAATTTAAAGTATATGGTGCAATTCTCGGCAGTAGAGAAAGTATATGGTACAATTCTCGTATTTTTAAGGATTATACCATACACTTTCTCTGGAACAACACTCTCTCTATTTTTCTTTTTATTTTTTACCTTGATCTTTTTCCCCTCCCTCTCTTTTTTTTAAGACTTTATTTTTTTTTTGAGTAGTCGCCACACTCTTCTTACAAGTTTCTTTTTAAAATTTTTGTGCTGCCTCTGCTCCCTTCTCCCAAGCATTTTTCAAAATCACTTTTTCAATTTGTTTTATTCTAAAACTCTTTTTCAAAATTTCTTTTAAAAAAAAAAATATTTTTGCCTTCATCTTTAAAAACCTTAATTTATCTTTTTCACAATCAATTTTATTTTCCAAAAACCTTTTTCCTTGTCTTTCTGACTTTTTCCTTTCTTCCACCGCCGCCTCCTTTCTCTCCACTTTTCTGTGTTTTTTTTTGTTCTTGTTTTTGCTTTTTGATAGATGTGTTGCTCCCAAGATCTTGAATATCCACTTTGGATATTAAAGATCTATCAAATGCAACGCAACCGCTCTGCCAAGCAGAATCTGCTGAAGCTGAAAACGGTCAATGGCGGAAGATATCACAAAATTTCAAGACAAGACTTGGTTTAGGAATTATTGTAATTTGAATTGTATTCGTTTAAGAGTTTTTGTTAACAAGCTGTATATTATGAGAAACTAAAAGAGAGTTATAAAATTAGTTCTCAGTACAGCGACCAGAACTCTTAAACACTTGTTTGTCATCATCAAAAAGGAGGAAATTGTTGGGAAAAATATAGATTTTGATGATGATGTATTTAGAATGTAATATGGACTTTAGGTCTCCCCCTAATATTCAATGTAATTTTTCTTCTTAGAAATACTGTTAAAACCGAGTCTTGAGATTTCCAATAAAATTGTGATATTTCTTTAAGGGGTTTGATGCCTGAAGACTTAATCAAATTCAGTGATTTGGAAATTGGATATCTTGATCGGAAATATCAGAGACAAGTAAGGATTTCTCAAAGCGGTTGAAAATCCTCAAATCCGGAAGACTACATAAGAACTGGATGTCTCGCTACAACCCGCTGAAGGCTAAGTCGGAAGACTAGCGCGGATTTCTTTCTCACCCGGAAGACTGAGAACGACTCCTCCGAATTTGTCAGCCAAGAACCGGATGCCTCAAGAAATACCGGAATTCTCAGAAAGCAGACAAGTGAGAAAAGACTTAGAAAATCATCTAAGTCTTGAATGAAGAAATTCTACCCGTTGGTAAGGAAAAATCAATCTCTTGATTTTCAACGGCTAGATTGAAGATAATTATGCTGATTCAAGAACGAATGACTCAAAGACAAAGTCTGGACCTCTAAAAATTGAAGAGCCTGTCCAGAATTCCTAAACAAGCACTAGAAGACAAACAGAGTAAAGTGCTACAGTCCTGAATTCTTGAACAACAGCTAGAAGACGGATTCTGTGGAAAAAGGAATCCCTCCTCAAACAATTGGATATGTCCAAACACCCATTCCAACGAAGAATCTTCAAATCACAATCTTCATTCAAAATTGAAGCCAGCAAATGCAACGGATAGTCTATTGTGATTCAACGGATAGATTATCCAATCCAGCTATAAATAGCATCCTTGGAAGACTGAAGAAAATAATGACGATGAGATACAACAACAACTAAGAGCAATCTCTAATAACAAAGCTATCTCATTCACAGTTTGTCCAAAAAGCTTGAAAAAGAGAGATTTCTAAAACTCCTTATCCAGAAGCAAACTTCTCCTCCTTCCAAAGAGCTATAGTGTAAACACTTGAAGGTTTCCTTGCCTCAAGTACCACACCACGTTGAAGGATACAACTTTTGATCAAACTTATTNTTGTTGAAGAAGCGTGACCTTCGAAGGAACAACAAAGCCAGCACGAGTGCAGTAGCAACATTGGCCTTGCAAAGATATACCGTGCAGAAATTCACACAAGTGTAATTGTTGGTTCATTATTCAACAACCAACTACATAGTGGATTTTGAGGACGTAGAAGGATTACCCCACCTTCGAACCTCGTTAAAGTTTGCGTGTCTCTCTCTCTTATCTTTATTCTTGTAATACCCCGTATCAAGATGGGAAATGTGAAGAGCTCAAAAGGATTGATAGTACTACTCATACGAACAAGGTGCATCTTCTTTTCGAGCGCTCATCACCTAGAAACTCCAAGGTTAAGCGTGCTTGACCTGGAACAATTTTAGGATGGGTGACCCCTGGGAAGTTTTCCTTGGGCGCGCACGAGTGAGGACAAAGTGTGCGGGAAAGACTTGTGTTGGTTTGTGGGGCCATTCTACAATCCTATGAGCGGACACTTACGGCTAGGGTGGGGGCCGGGGTGTTACAATTCTTACTTGCAATTATATTAACTGTGAAAACTAACCCATCTATATTGATTACTGCTCACCCTACCTACCAAATTCCGCACACAATCTAAAGTTCACAAGAACTCTAGATTAACACTCATTTTCACGTTTTCAAAAGAAACGAAAAAGTTTTAAATTTGTAACAAAGTCTATTCACCCCCCCCCCCTCTAGACTTTGTATCTCACCACTTTGGGACCACCACCTTCTTGAATACTTCAAGGAATGGCACTTCAAATCTTCATGTTTGTCGATGTAGCACTATGATCTTGACTTGAATAAAGAGTGTTTGTCAATTATTAAAACCTGTGAGTCAACATTTAACAACACAGAAAGGGTTGAAGTCATGCATTCCAACACTTACTTGTTGATTACCTTCCCGGGGCAGAGATGTCGTGGAGGATGCGGATGCAAGACTTTGAAAATATTGACTCAATGATCCGAAAATCGTTTTGCTCTAATACCAAAATGTAACACCCCAATCCGTATAACTCGGAATTACACGTATTAAGGTGAAACCGGAGTTAAATAAAAATTTCGCTTGACATTTGAAATGACAATTACTTATAAATAATAAATTTACAGACTCTAGATCGCGACCCATTTAAAAATATTTTCAGAGTAATGCGGAAGTACAATAATAATCAAATCATGACACATTTAAAATCTGATGACCAAACATTTGCCTGCCATCCTCGCATCTCCTCTGACTCAATGCCCTCCGGGAGTGGTTCCATCATTGTCTTCTTGTTACCTACGTGTAGTCAACGAAAAATACAAACTACACGCTCAGCGAAACCGCAGAGTGGTACCACGCTAGAATTGTAGGATGATTCACAGACATATATATACATACATATATATATATATATATATATATATATATATATGTCCACAAAAATGTATAAAAATATTCAAGGATCCCCCCTGGTGAGATGGTCTAAACCTTAAACGGGGATCCTTACGACCCGAGTTCGATCCCCAGAGAGGGCGACTTTGGGGGAATTTTAGAAAAGTTAAGCGTGCTCCTGATGGAGTAGTGAAAGGGATGGGTGACCCCTGGGAAGGCTACCAGGAGTGGCTCTATAGTGGGCTTCCTACCCCGGTGGTTAACGGGCCCTAGGATGGACATGAGGTTAACGGGCCTCGGGCCCCCTGCTTCTAAGAGATCCGTAAAAAAAACAAAACAAAAAAAAATGTATAATAATATTCATGATATGGCACATTATATCATATGGTCAATTTGATGAATCATGATGATAATTATTTAATGATAATTACATGATGGCACAATTAATCAATTTGCTTGTGAGGATGATTACATGATACCTATGTAATCAATATACTTGTTCTTGATGATGATTACATGACACCTATGTAATCAATATAATTGTTCTTGATGATGATTACATGACACCTATGTAATCAATGTAATTGTACTTGATGATAATAACATGATGCATGAACCTATAACCTGCAAGGACGACCCTTGCGCTATGAGATTCGCCCCGATGTACGACGAACTCACGCCGCCTTAGTCTCACAAATGAGTGTTGGAGTTGGTGCCCTTATGGCCAACTGCTGTTGTAATATCTTAGATATTTTCTATCATGTAAAGGCAGATGTATTAAGTTTATAAACATCTCATGCTAATGTAAATGTTGACCCTTGTGTTTTGATAATGACAACTATCTCATGGGCTCAGCACTTTGGATGTTGATCTTCACAATCATGTGTTGGATCTCAAGACAAGTGTGAAGATATAGAGTATTTGTTTTTCGTTTAGGTCTTAGCATTTGTTGTTAAAGTGTATGGTACGTTAGTTGTTTTTCCTCTTTGAAAATGTTTTCCAAAAATCCTTCAAATTGTTTTTGAGT